CCCCTCTGACCCCCCCTGGTCCCCCCTTAACCCCCCTGTGCCCCCCCAGTTCTTCGAGGAGTTGGCGGAGGAGGAGAAACCCCCCCCCAAAATTGAGCCCCCCCCCGGCCCCCGACAGGGAGGGGCCCCCCCAGGTGGGTTTGGAGGGGAGGGAGGGGCTAAAAGGGGTGGGGGAGGGGCTAAAAGGGGGCGTGGCTGGAGGGGAGGGGCTAAAATGGGATGGGGAGGGGCTAAATAGGGTGTGGTTGGAGGGGAGGGGCTAAAGGGGGTGTGGTTGGAGGGGAGGAGCTTAAATGGGTGTGGTTGCTGGAAGAGGGGCTCAATGGGTGGAGGAGGAGCTAAAGAGGGTGAGGTTGGAGGGAGGGGCTTAAGGGGTGGGGGAGGGGTTAAAGAGGGTGGGGTTGGAGGGGGAGGGGCTAAATGGGGAATGGGAGGGGCTAAAGGGGAGGGGATTGGGTAATTATGGGCTGACTAAGGCTGAAATGAGGGCTAATTAAGGCCTCCAACGCTAATTAGGGATCTCGCCGGAAGCGAGAGCGCCGGAAGGAGCCGCGGCCCCGCCCGGGGGCGGAGCCTGAACCCGAGGAGGCGGAGCTTCAGCGGCGGCTCCAGGCCCTGGCGGCCGCGGACTCCGAGGAGGAGGAGGAGGAGGAAGGTCGGGGGGGGGGGGGGGGGGGGGGGGGGGGGGTCGGGGGGGGTCCCTGAGACCCCCGGGGGGGGGGGGGGGGATGGGCAGTGACCCCCAACCCCCCAAAATTGTTCCCACAGTCGTGGCCCCCCGGAAAGGAGGGAGGAGGAGGAAGGTGAGTTTGGGGAAGGGGGAGGGGCTTAACGTTGGGGGAGGGGCTTAAAGTAAGGGGGAGGGGCCCCAAAATAAGGGAGGAGCCCAAAACAAGGAGGGGGTCTCCAACCCCCCCTTTTTTAACCCCCCCCTCCCAGGGCGGGAACGTGTTCGCGGCGCTGAGTCGGGAGCAGAGCGAGGAGGACGAGGAGGAGGAGCAGAAGAGGGGGGAGGAAGGCTCCAGACCCCCCAAGGGCAAGAACAACAAGGTTTGGGGGGGTCCCTGCAGGTCCCCGGGGGTCCTGGAGGGGGGTGGGACCCCCCAAAAACCTGGGAATTGTCCGGGATTGCAGCAGGAGGAAGAGGAGGGCGAGAGGAAGAAGAGGAAGGGCCACAAGAACGAGAAGGCCAAGGGGAAGCAGAAGGTGAGGGGGGGTCTCACGGATGTTTTGGGGGTCCCACCTGCGGTTTGGGGGGTCTCTGAATTTGGGGGGGTCTTGTTTTGTTCCCAGGGCAAAGCTCCCAGTGAGGATGAGGCCGAAGGCTCCGAGGAGGAGGCGAAGCCCAAAGGGGGGAAGGTGAGGAGGGGGGAGGTTCTGCACCCCCCGAGGGAGTTTTGGGGGTGAGACCCCCCCCAACATGGTTGTTCCCCCTCCCCCCAAAAGCAGAACAAGTTCCTGGCTCTGAGGGGGGAGGAGGAGGAGGAGGAGGAGGAAGAAGAGGCCGAAAAGCCCCGGAAGGGGAGCGAGGGGGTGAGTGGAGACCCCCCCGAGGGGCTTTGGGGGGGTCCTGGGGGA